AATTCCTAAACCATTCCTCTAATTTGGATGTACATACCCTCAAATTAAACCTGAGAGTGTGCACTTTCAGCCCATATTCAGTATATAACTATAGCTTGAATATGTTTTGGTAAATACCTGAAAAAACTAAATATTGTGCCTGTGTCCACATCTATATGGACCTAACTGTATATGAGGACCTGGCGGTTTTTAAGCCACTGTGCATGGACCCTAAATGTGGTTTTCAACTGGGAAAGTTAATTCATTCCAAAGTCAAATGTTTAAAGCAAATATACATTTTGAAGGGCTTTTAGACATTTTTTTAAAGTCAGCAAACTAGCTGAAAATTTCCACACAAACGCTGGTTTGAAAATCTACTAGTGTATGGTCAGCTTTAGCTCTACAAACAGCATACAATATAGTGATTAACTGCACCAAAGGGATGTTTTGCTTACACCAAAAGGGATCTAGCAGTTTTTTATACTAACTGCAAGACATTTTAGTAGTATGACTGAGTTTCTATAAAGTGCCTTTTCAGCTATAGCTTAAAAAGGAGCAAAAAGGATGGACTTAGCAGGAAGAGGCAATGCACACCAGAGACCCTGAATCTTAAACATTTAGAGCCCTTTTACACTTTACAACCAAAGTTTCAGTAATGTGTGCTATAAGTCAACACACAGTACATAGGTTAGTATATTGCAACGTCACTCTTAAATGGCACTCCAAGAAAGGCAATGCAGAATATGCGTAGCAGCACATCACAACACACAGTAAGGCACTACTGTGTATGAGCATGAATGCCCCCCCCCCCCCCCCCAAGCGCAAACCAATGTTCTGATTTTACCAAAAAAGTACCAGCAGACTAGGCATAGGAAGACAGTGCATTAAGTGAGAGCCAGTGTGACCTGTACTTGTACTATAAGTGCCCGTTCACATACAGTTGTGTTCAAAATAATAGCAGTGTGTTGAAAAAAGTGAATAAAGCTCAAAATCCTTCTAATAGCTTTTATTTCCATACACACAAATGCATTAGGAACACTACACATTCTATTTCAAATCAAAACAGGAAGAAAAATATATATCAAATTTGTTTTGTTCCTCTAAAAAAAAAAAAAAAAAAAAAAAAAAAAAAAAAAAGTGAAGAAAAGTGATTAGACTGTTCAAAAAAATAGCAGTGTTTGTATTCTTCTCTACAAACGCAAACATTTACTATATAAACTGAAAAATTTTGAAGATTTTGCTTTCCTTTGAATCAATTAATATAGTTGTATAAGCACTGTTTCTGAGAACTGCTGTACATCTGTGTTGCATGGAGTCAACCAACATCTAGCACCCGTGAACAGGTATTCCAGCCCAGGATGATTGGACTACAGTCCACAGTTCTTCTCTATTTATTGGTTTTGCCTCAAACTGCATTTCTGATGTCACCCCACAAGTTTTCTATTGGATTAAGATCCGGGGATTGGGCTGGCCACTCCATAACGTCAATCTTGTTGGTCTGGAACCAAGATGTTGCACGTTTACTGGTGTGTTTGGGGTCGTTGTCTTGTTGAAACACCCATTTCAAGGGCATTTCCTCTTCAGCATAAGGCAGCATGACCTCTTCAAGTATTCTGATGTATTCAAATTGATCCATGATCCCTGGTATGCGATAAATAGGCCCAACACCGTAGTATGAGAAACATCCCCATATCATGATGCTTGCGCAACCATGCTTCACTGTCTTCACAGTGTACTGTGGCTTGAATTCAGTGTTTGGGGGTCGTCTGACAAACTGTCTCCGACCACTAGACCCAAAAAGAACAATCTTACTTTCATCAGTCCACAAAATGTTGCGCCATTTCTCTTTAGGCCAGTCAATGTGCTCTTTGGCAAATTATAACCTCTTCAGCGGGTCTTTTTTTCAACAGTGGGACTTTTGCGGGGGCTTCTTGCAGATAGCTTGGCTTCACATAGGCGTCTTCTAATTGTAACAGTACTCACAGGTAACTTTAGACCTTCTTTGATCTTCCTGGAGCTGATTGTTGGCTGAGTCCTTGCCATTTTGGCTATTCTTCTATCCATTTGAATGGTAGTTTTTTCGCTTTCTTCCACGTCTTTCAGGTTTTGGTTGCCATTTTAAAGCATTTGCGATCATTTTAGCTGAGCAGCCTATCATTTTCTGCACTTCTTTATATGTTTTCCCCTCTCCAATCAACTTTTTAATCAAGGTACGATGTTTTTCTGAACAATGTCTGGAACGACCCATTTTCCTCAGAATTTCAGAGAGAAATGCACTGTAACCAGCATGTACAACATTTGCTGCCTTCCTTCCTTAAATAAGGGCAATAATTGCCACCTGTTTTTCAAAGAATGAATGACCTCACTAATAGAACTCCACACTGCTATTATTTTGAACATGCCCCTTTCAATTAGTGATTCAATTACACAGAATCAGCAGCATGCATGTCATGACTGTTGGGTCTGTGGGATTTCTATTACTCTACTACACTTGCTAGTAAATTATTTGCCATGTAGGAATATCATTTCTACCAAAAACAGTGATTGATCAGGTTAGTGATGTCTGACTGCTATTATTTTGAACACAACTGTATATGCGGATTGAACTGCATCCAATCTACATGACATGTGAGATAACCTTGCTTCCTATGGTGTCTGTTCATATATATCCAGTGCATGACTAGTGCGAAAAAAAAAAAAAAAAAAAAAAAAAGCAGTGGCTTCAGGTGCCGGTTACAGGCTATTGACTTATATGGGAACTGTTCCTAAACCGCATGTGTGAACAAGATAAGATCCTGAGCCAATGCTGATGTAAACCTGACATGAACCGCTCACCAACTACTGTGTCACTTAGCTGTGGAACCTGAGTTTAAAACTTCACTGCATGTGTTTGAATCAGCTCTTACCCACACCATTCCTATCCAATGTAATTCTGAATGAAAGGGAGGTTTTATTCTTACTGACAGAGAAACAAAAATGAAGGTTCTACCTTAATATAGTCATATACCTTCAAATTACTTGGCATGTTGATACATGGTTTCAAGTCTCATGTCTTTGAAGGTTGTATTAGAAATAGAAGTCTCATGATCCAACACTATCATAAATCTGACCCAAAGAGATCCCCTGAATGCATACTTCCCTAAGCACCATCTTCAGAATCTCAGTTTAACAGTCTGCTAGCAGCGAAACTGGAAGGTGCACCTCTGCCTTCACCGAAATGCCATAGTCTTATACATGCCAGCTAAGTACCCAGTGTTCATGAGGTCTTATATGTGTACATGTGACAGTAATGGCTTTAGATTTCTACTCATTTTCTCATCATATGCACATCAATTAAAACATCACCATCAGCAGTACGATGCAATTTCTTAAATTTACGTTTAATAAAAAGGTTAAGTTTAAAAAACATGTTGGAAGAACATAAAATGTTAAAGTACAAACAATTTGGAATATTGGATAATTATTATGTACTTGAGCCTTATTCAATAAAAAGCCATAATTTCCACCAATTACAACTCATTCTACTGACCGCAGGTCAATACATGATGAATTCTGTTCAGATACATTGGATTGCTTTACTTAAGAATTAGCACGCTTTATTGAATAAGATTGATGGATTGCAAAACAGCCAAATATGTTTACATACATGTTACCATAGTAATTTTTACAGTAGTAATACAGATGACCAATTGAAAAATCCTTAGCAAGTGCAACATGTTCGTTCTAACTTACTCCACCATATTTTATTAACCGTTAAATAAAATATTAAAAGGTTGTGACGGTCTCCAATCTTTCTGCCCATTCATTGCTACTGCCATATTAAGTTAGGAAAAGTGTGATCTGTACGTTACAATGTAACCAATATCATTCATATGCAAAATAATTGTTTTAAAAAGAGTAGGTAGGCTATAGGCTACTGCTTTACTGAGAGAAGAGAAAAAAAACAAAAAACACCACAGTGGGTCTACTATAACAAGTCATAGACCTTCAAATTACTTTATTAATTCAGTGCTTTTCAGAAACAGTTCTATAATAGTAAAAATGTTTATCTTTGCTTTGTACAGTGTACAGAGCTGCTCAACTGCATACCAGATACAAATGTATCAATGTAACAGCCATGTTCTGTGTCACTAACAAAAATCTGGTTTAAAAAAAAAAAAAAAAAAAAAAAAAAAATGATATGCAACTTTAATGCTTGCAAGATAAAGAGTTATTTATTAAAAGATTCAGACAGACACACATATGACCCAATAAATAAAAGGGATCTAATGCTAAGCAGTAGGCATGATTGACTGTGACCCATATTTGGATGCTTATCAATCGGTTGGTGGGGATGAGGCATGTCACAGTCCATACCAATCCCATTGGTTACCTTTAACCATCAGAATAAAAGGATAAAAATTGAGGAGCTTCAAAAGAAACTGCCTGGGTCGGTGTGTTGGTTTACATTTTCAGATATGGGAAGAGAAGGAATTGCTATACACTAATGTATTACAGTTTTAAAGCAAAGCACCACAGTAAAATATTTATGCTAACCTTATTTCCACCCTAAATCCAAACTAACAAAGTAAAACAAGCACTATGCAAACAAAAATTGTTACAGCTACTGATAATATTCTGCACAAAATTGCAAAGCACTATTTTGTGTTTTATTTTCTACATTTGTTTAATAAAAAAAAAAAAAAAAAAGTAGAAATATTTGTATGTGAAAATATTAAAAACAATTTAATTAATGAAGTTTACAACAAAAGGTCAAATACTTTCATTAGTTCGGTGTGTACAACCAATACATGTAGTTGCTACATGAAAAATCTACCATTCAGGACAATACTATATTTCAGTAAAATTTATACAAACATTAGTTGTAGAAAAATATATCTAATAGCAACAATGGCATTTTGTTTCTTCTTGAAGTACCACCTAATCAGATAACATATGCCCGATAAGCTGGGGAAACCCATAACATAACAGTCTATTTTTATGGTGGAAAGAAAAACAAAAACAGTCTCAGTCCTTGAATTTAGGAAGATGTGTAGAAGTATTTGGTTTTGACGTTGCCCCAACAGTTCATCCTCAAAGTTGGGAAGGCAGCAGAAGAAAATTCCACAGCCAAACATAATGATTGTACTGCCCCAACCAAAGCCATAGGTCCAGCTGTACAGGTAGTTTTCAATGTTCGCTGCGAAGTCTGATGTGTACTTTACAGGGTAGATAACCAAAGCAATGATCTGCAAAACAACTAAAACAAGAGAAAAAAAAAAGTTACACTTCACCGATAACTATCATTCACTACTTTGCATTAAAGTATTTCCAAAACTTTTAGTGTTGCATAGAGCAGGATAGAGTTACAACCCATCATACGTTTACTATGGTCTTGCAAGTAGTCCAGGTGACCATTGTCAAAAAAGCCAAAAATGATGGAAGCTACAAAATGTTATCACTGGAGAAGGAGTAGTCAAATCTTCCAATGGAGACACCTGGTTCAATTTCATCTGCCAATTTCATCTAACAATAGAGATTCTTAAAATTTCCTGTCTTTCCTGGAACAGTAGGCCAAGGTAAATATTTTTAAATTGACACAGACAGCAAAATAAAAGTATTAGAATATTGGACTATTACCTACTTTATTTAAATGAACGAAACAAAATCCAATGAGTAAAACATGTGCTGGGTGGATCACATCAATACACATTTTTAGGAGGTCTATGAAGCTGCATGTTCTAAAATAACTTTGTTCCGTCTTTGGGAACAGAACAGAATAGTTGCATATTTGTGGTTGCTTAGTTAACAGAAATGTTTTTTCCATTTGATAGTCAGAGCCATACTTCCATTACATGTCCCCTAGGCCACTTTCCAAGAACCAGAATTCATAATGAATGCACAATCCCAACAGCTTATTTGTAAGCAGCACAGATGTACTGTATGCATAACTGAAAGTATCTATTCTTCAACATAATTGAAAACTAAACATAATGAGTAGGAGCCTAGCACCCAGCTGTACCATTGCTGCTGGAGTCTGATGCTTATGTCACATTTCTTGTTAATGGCTGACTTGCAAGGTAAAGCATAAGAGTGTTTAACCAGTTCCCACTCGGCCTATAGTAAAATGACGGCTGAGCAGGACTTTCGACGATCTGGGTGGAAGCCATATGATGTCCTCCCAGATCGCCACAGCAAAATCTGTCACTGGCTGTGTCCACCAAATGTGACCATGGCACTACTAGGCACTGATGGGCACAGGTGGGTGGCACTACTAGGCACTGATCATCAGTGCCCTGATGACCAGTGCCGATCCGTCCTCTGACAATTGCCGGTTATCGGCAGTAGTTTCCTCATGCTGTGAGAGCGTGAGGAAAGTGCAGCCAATAATCACCAACTGTATTTACCCAGCGATCTGCTGTGTCATTGGACACAGCTGATCATATGATAAAAGGCCACTGTGATTGGCCTTTTACCACATCACATGATCAGCTGTGTCTGTAGGACACAGCGATCATGGAGATCGCCGGGGTACGCACAGGAGGGCACATTCTGGGAGGACGTAATATGGCGCCCTCCCAGAACTGGACAACCTTGCTGTAGAAGTCATTCGGCTATAGCGCAGTTGGCAAGTGGTTACTTTATTTAAAAAAAAAAAACCCTGTGGTGACTAAATGCCACCAAAAGAAAGCTCTAGTTGTGGGAACAGAATGATAAAATTCTAGTTTGGGTACAATGTTGCATGACCGCGCAACTGTCGAAGTGTGAGTGCTGAAAGCTGAAAATTGGCCTGGGCAGGAAGGGGGAAAAAGTGTCCGTTATTGAAGTGGTAACTTTGGGTTGGTTCGTACATTAACATTTACATAGATTCTATACTACATTTTTGAGGATTGAAACCCAGAAACCCTCACAACAGTTAAATTTTTTTGGTCAGCATTTAAAACAGCTGCAGCTGCTATATGACCTAGTACTAAATGCAACATCAACAATCCTTTCATTGCATTTTAATAACTCAAGTGTTTTTACACTCCTTTATACCTTTCGCTGCCAGAACCATTTCAGAACCCAAGCCATACAACCCAACCCGCAGCTGCAAGTTTAACCACTTCCTGCCCATAGGATGTACCAGTACATCCTTAGGTTGAAGTGGTTATACCAGGGCCTTGGCTGCAGTCTTTTTTTTTTTTTTTTTTTCAGCCGGTGATTCTGAATAATGCAAAAGTGGTCTGAACAGATGTCGTCCCCACCCCCCCGCCTGCGTTAACGGGTTCTCCCACCGGGGAGCCCAGGACTGAAGCTGGCAGTTCTGCTAGGTTTCCATAGAGATGAGCAGTGTTTCTCAACCTTTTTTAAGTCAAGGCACCCTTTAAATTTATGGACAATTTCAAGGCACCCTTTTAAAATTATGGACAGTTTTGAGTAACTCCGTTCTAAAACGGGGTGTAAAAAAACCAATTCTAATAGTTTTATATAACAGCCACATCCACACATGTAGGACACCCAACCTTAGAGGCGATTTATTCTTTCAAAGCAAATACACTTTTGCACACTGGTACTGACTGATATTCCAAAAGTTTCACTTCTCCCCAGTTTCTGTTCATCACTGAGCTAATGGGACGCCAGCACTGACAGAGAGGGGCAGGACAGGTTCAAATAAGGATGCTGTGCTGTGCAACCAACATCCTCATCATTGGATGTCATTGGTTGTCAGGACGCCGGCGGCTTGAAAGTCGTAATGCTGCACAATGAAAACCTGTGACTCTGTGTAACTAAAAGGCAGGTTTGTTCCACCCGCTGGCTTGTATACAAGTTTTGGGCGATTTTTAGACATTTTGCAAAGGCATCCCTGAAGAAAAGACACCCTGGTTGAAAATGGCTAAAGATGAGGGAGGAACAGAAATTCCCTGATTATCTCTATGGTATATGAAACCAAAAGCAAAAAGGATTTGTCCACTTTCAGTCTGGTTTGTTGTTTACCAGCCATTATTGGCTTGTAACAGCAACTGATCAAACTGATCTCAATTGACAATCATAGTAAGTATAGAGTGTCAGCTCCTACAATCACTTCTATGGGCAGACACGTGCTTATGGACACAAAAAGATTAAATCTAAATCCTGGTGCATTAAGGCCCATTTTACCAGTTCACTGATCAGCAGTTAATCAACATTAGGTTAAAAATACTAAGACCCCCCATTTTGCATAACGGAATGCACTTTCCTGCTCGCATGTTCTTGGCGAGTATCTGCGAATTTTACATAGGGCAGCCAAACGCACAATCATGGTACGACACGCATTTGGGTGTAATTAATTGTAAATGGCATCCAAATGCGCATTGTGCCACGATTTTAGATAAACAGAGTGAACGGCCTAAAAGCAGCTGCTTGCCCCTGGAAATGTTTTCAAAGTATTGGAACTGCAGACATTTCTCTTCACATCCCACAAATTTCACCCACAGTACCACAATACATAGCTAGTCCTTACCAGCCAGGAACAGAAGAAATCCAATAATCCTCAACAGAGAGATAACCGGTGAACACAGAGCAACAAAGGAGATAATGAAGCATACGATGAGGATGATGAATCCAATGATTAGAAGTGCAGCTGTTGCTTTACCCCAGGCTGTAAAAGGAAAGACATACAAATTATTAATGTCTTATTAGTGGCATAAAACACATCATGTCAGCAATATGTGAAGAAACACACTGTACTAACAGAACACAATTACAAAGGTGCCAAATGATCTATTCTGAAAAATACTGCAACGTCAGGGCACAAACGAGGTTTCCCCGCAGGGACAAATGTACATTTGACAACGGCCCATGACATCTGTTGAGTGGGGCAGGCCACACACCTGCTGGATCAGTTGAATTTCAATCGGTGTACTCACTACTAACCCCTGGCAAGCCTATTTCTCAGATAACATTCAGGTTATTAAAAAAGGAAAATTCAAGGGTAGTAACTTACAGCAAGCAAAGCAAAGCATCTTTTACTGATCTCATTAAATTAGCCCAAAATCTGACTGTTGTAGGTTTCTGCTAACATTCTGGTATTATTGAATAAGCCCCACTGATAGATCAAATACCTAACAACAAAATACAGCATTTAATACCACAGAGTACATCTTTTCCCCACTGAACACATTGAAGGCTCATGCACTCGGATGTTTATCAGAGTACCTGAGCCTGGTGAGCTACTCGTGCTGCGCACAACCTCCAATAAAAGTGAATGGCTGTATCGGGCCACACGTGTAAAATGCCAAATGCTTCTGCATGTACACATTGTGTATTTCCCCAAATGTGAAGGTGTACATGCATGAGTGAGTATGTACACACTAATGTAGAATTCCTGTTTACATAATGGTTTAAAGCAGGGGTTAAAATTTCGAGTCCAGACCTACTAGAGGGTCACAAAACTTACTCTCTACCTGTTGCCCCACCCAACCTTGCCCAGGTCCGCCCCCCACGCCCTTAAAGCTTATGAAATTACATTTTTCTTTAGAATAAGTCCAAAATATAAAACTGTACACAGTAATGTATATCCCAGCTCCCCTGTACTCCATTATAGTGATATGACGTGTATACAGTATGTATATCCCAGCTCCCCTGTACTCCATTATAGTGATATGACGTGTATACAGTAATGTATATCCCAGCTCCCCTGTACTCCATTATAGTGATATGACATGTATACAGTATGTATATCCCAGTCCCCTGTACATTATAGTGATATGACATGTATACAGTATGTATATCCCAGCTCCCCTGTACTCCATTATAGTGACATGACATGTATACAGTAATGTATATCCCTGCTCCCCTGTACTCCATTATATGATATGACTGTATACAGTAATCATCTGTGCTCACCGCTTGCCACAGAGGAATTTCTCATCGCATTTGGCGAGCGGCTTTTTCAAGCCCTGGTTTAAAGGACTTGTAACCTGCCGTCTGTGCGCATAAGGCCTAAATAGTGGGGATAGCCTACAGCAAATCTCTTTCTGCCATTTGGAATGTTAAAACCCCATCTAAAAAGAGAAAAAAAAAAGGGAAGGATAATAAGGACATCCTCCCAGTCCAAAGAGTTCTGGCCAGATCAAGTGATCATTTGATAGCTACAGGCTAACTTATACCTAGGGGAATAGCAATTGATCCACTTAACCTCGGATGGGCGAATGGGAGCACTGCCAATGCGGGTGGACATTTCTTAACGTTCCACCGCATCCATTGCCCAGGAGCGCACAGCACCACGATTGGTGCCCGCTGTGTCCGGAGGACACAGATCGCTGTACGGGACCTCTGTGTGAGGTCCCGATTCATGTGATCACAGATTGGCCAATCTATGATCACATGAATAGTAGTAAACAAGATGTCACTTCCTGACATTGCTTACTACTTGTGAAATCTGTGAATGATTATAGAGGTCACATGGTACAAAGCTATTCACAACAGCCTTGTATCATGTGACAAGCTGTGACCAATCACACTCGCACAGTATTTCTCTATGGCAGCAGGAATACAGCCAGAGAGAAGAAATTATTGCTTTTTACAGCCTTTATGGGTGTAAAAGCAATCAGTGTAAAAAAAGAAAAAAAAAAATCATCACGCTGCACAAATAGTACAGTGTCACTACGGTGACACTGTACTGCTAGGGTGACAACAAATAAAAAAACAAATATAAAAAAATAAAATAAAAATGTAAAATGGACAAGATTTATGAAGAAAGATTTATTTGCAAAATTTTATAAGAAACTTTTATTTTCTTCAAAACTTGTGGTCTTTCATCTATAAGTGGTGAATAAATACCACCAAAATAAAGTTATATCTGTCTCAAATAAATACTAAAAATTTCATATGGGTACAGTGGTGCATGAGCGTGCAATTGTCATTCAAAGTGTGATAGCACTGAGAGCTGAAAATTGGCCTGGACAGGAAGGGGGTGTAAATGTCCGGACATTAAGTGGATAAAAAAAACCAAACAAAAAAAACCAAAAAAAAAAAAAACACACACCTCTTACCCAATTGTTAGTCTCTTCTTTCTGTGTCTAAAGTATACCTAGGACTCTCTGTACAACACTTTGGGCCTATACACATTTTTGTAGTGTGTTAATGCACGTTGTGTCATAAGTATTAGAGCAGCCAGTTAAAAAGAATGGGCTGCAAATGCATCAAAACATCCTGGAAATCAGACGCGTCAATACTAGCAAAGCAGCAAAATATGGTGCACTTACACACACTGCAACCCATGTGTCTTGCTTTAGTGCAGTGGGTGTCATTGAAAAAGAATGGCACTGCAATGTGTGTTGTCCCGCACTATCACAATGCAAACATGTTAATCGGCCCCAACAGTCATCAGATTCTGTGGCCATTAATGTGCATCTAAACCACAGAACAAAATATATTACACCTAAAGCTTTTTATTTCTTATTGTCACTTGGTGACCCCCCCCCCCCCCCACACAAAAAAAAAATGTCTTTCCTAGGGTGACAGCTCTCACTCACTGTACTGTATCTGGAGAGGAGCAGTGCTGTTACCCACAGACAAGAAGTGTGTTAAGACTAGAGAACACCTCCCCCCTACCGTTCTGAACATAAGGGAGGTGTTCTGTAGTCTGTACACTTCCTTTTGACACTGTTTGAGATAACACTGCAGGGTGCACAGGACAACACTTGGTTTTCTTCAGGATCAACAGGCTTTCTTGCACTTATTGTAGCAATATAACAAAATGCTTCCAATCATATATTTAATAAATCAAAAAGGAGAAAATAAGTGAATTGGTTTTACACATACTTTAAAGGCACTTTTACAAGAAAGGGTACAGACAGGTAGGCATAGCTAAATCCAGAAAAGTCAACAGTAAAATGGTGACGTGCTCTCTACTCCATTGTCTTCTAAATATTAACAAACTCAAGGAGCCAACTTTACTATTGATTTATACATTTTGATAACATTGAAGCCTCCCTCTGCCTTCAAGCATGTAAGCCTGCATTCCAATGGTGTTAGCAAAGAAGCAACAAACCCTGATGTTTATTACAGAAATATAATAGGCACTTTGTAGTAACAGCTGGACCATGGATGAGGTGCCAGAAAGCAGATTCATCTGTGCACCCAAGAAATACTCCCTGGAAATTATACCCTGCTATCCAGACTTTGGTGTACAGGTATGTTCTCTCTAAAGCAGGCCATACACGGTAAGAATCTGAGCCAGTTCCTGACGAACCAGACGAAATTCACTCAATGAGTGGCCTTGGAGGGAAAAAAAAAAAAAAAAAAAAAGGGAAGGATAATGGTTGGTTGAACAGTTCCTGCATCTAGTCAGATTCAGCCGTAGTTGGCGTATTGACAGCTGGCAAGACTGACTTTCAGATTACAATAGCTGCAGCAGGAGACTCATCTATCTGCACTGTGTAGCTGAACTGAAAAAAAAAAAAAAAAATCTACTTGTCCACTGCCATCCTAACAAGTGAATCAAATAATAAACTGAAGAATGTCATGATGATCCAGAAAATTAAACAGAAAAATAGAGATGCCAAACAGAAATCAAACTTTTCTGATCTAAAAACATCCTCTGTGTGATGCTTCAGAAGGACGAGAGATTTCTGACTCAAAAAGCTAGCTTATGACCATCAACACATGCTTTTCAAATTCTTTTATTGCTCATATATAAACACACAAAGTGCACTCTGTAAGCAAGGAGGCGTTCATTTTACCATGATTTACTGAACAGGTTTCTTCATGTCATGAGTATAAAACAGTGACAAGTATACCACGCCTTGTCCTTCAGCTAAACCAGTCAAACCTCCACCCAAAATGCATGGGTGTATAAACAGGATAATATGCTTGTATGTGAATCATCCGCATTGATGTGCTGACATAGGCTTTTCTTGCGTTACCATTTTGTTCACACAAACCATTATTGTTTTCCCTTCTACATGGGTGCTCAGCCCCTAAAGAGACCAGGGCTGTGCGTTTACTTTTCTGTTCACAGAAAGTGAATGGGTCTGCTTCGGCTGTGCGGACTCAACCACGCAGGAACAGAGCCTACACATCCAGGTGCATCTTTCCCTGCGTACCTGGCAAACTTGGCTATGTGGCAGCTAATGCGTACCCACTCACTTTTCACTGCCTACCTGCACACAACTCAGCAGTGGGAAAGAAAAAGAAAAAAAAAAAAAAAAAAAAAAAAAAAAAAGCATACAAAAGTTTTTGGCAGCTTCACTTAAAACAAAAATGCAATATATTGCAACTCACCAGATGTGGTGTTGAAATAGATTTCTTTTTAAAGCTTTTTTCCTAAATTTTCACCTGGTAATCCTCTCAGTAACACACTTCCAGTCCTAGGGTGACAACGCTCACTCACTGAACTGTATCTATGGAGAAGAAATGTCATCCTAGGTCTGGACTACAAATACTTCCCCCCTCTTCTCCATACCAGAGTCCTTACTGATAGCTAAGAAAATGCAACTAATAAAGCCAATAATGATCAAAAATACCCACTGGTACGCAGTGTGTGGGGCTTCGTGTAAAGTCCCAGGGAAATCATGGTTTTATAGATAATGTAACTAACATGAGTGCAGAAATCATCAGCTGACAAGATTTATGGCACTTGAAAATAGAACAAAA